TTTTTTTTGTGAAAAAAGAATTATTTTAGTAACTGCTTAACTTTTTTTGTTTTTTCTTTCAGTGGTAAAAGGTCGATTTGCAAATGTGAGCCAATTGGAATGGGATAATTCAAACATGTTTACCTCGGGTGTTAACTAAAACTAACTGGAAGTTTGTGACGTTCGTCGCATGCATAAATGTTTAGGCACATAAATAACATAAAATGCCAACAAAATGAACAAATCTGGCAAATAAAACCAAATTCACACTTTTGTAGAAGACATAACAGTGAAATGTTATGAACATTGCAACACACTTATTTACAAATAATGGTTTTCCACATTTATTTAACATATAAAAGCTGCGCAGGAAATAAAAAGAAACTAAAATAAAAAAATAGGTAAAGTAAGAAAAGCTGAGGAGGAGAAAAGGAAAATAGTTAAAAATATGGCATGGAAAATGTGTGAAAATATACATATAAATATTAGCACATGTATATTTGTACGTGTAGGCGTAAGCAAATTCTAGATAAAATAGACCAAAAGAAAAATACAACATTTGTTTATGCTAGATAATTATGTTAGAATTTTCATATTGCTTAAATCAACAAATGCCCAGTTAAGCATCTTATCTTTAAGGTGAAAGGCAAATACACGTTTATTTTCAACGTAATTCCTCTAGTGGGCGCAACAACCAAAACTCCAAAACGTAAAAATAGCAAACTAATACTACAACAACACACTATACAAAAAAAAATAATTAACATGAAAAGACAAAAAAAAACAAATAAACAACAAACAAACAAGTAAACATAATAAATCGATGCCGTCATCTTGTAGCCGCCAAGGCAACTGTAGTTATCCTTACTTATAAAAAAAGCAAGGCGCACAGCGCTGCATTAATGTTAAGAAAAATATCTTTAGATGTCCGTATGGTTACTAGTTAGCCAGAATTTAAGCCTAGTGATGCCTATCATAGAATGCCGCCTTTGTTAATAGCCTAAGATGAATGCAGAAATTAAACCAATTTGATTATACTCGCCAACGTCAGAGAGCTAATCTGAGGTTTGGAAAATCTATTGAGCCACTTACAGGGCTAGCTGTATTACGCTGAGGAAATAGTTTAGTTTCAACAGCTAAAGGCATATACATAGGTATTTAGTTGCAAAATATTGACAATATTTGGGAACTATTACCATGGCTTGAGAACCATTACCAAGTTTTGGTAATTATAAATATAGAATTTTCAGTTTAAATAAAACCATTTTCAGATTAAGCGAAACTTTTTCAAATTAAATTAAACCTTTTTCAATTGAGCGAAACTCTATTCAAATTAAATGAAACTTCCTTTTTTGGTTTACTAGGAATTCGCTGTTATCCGTTATTGTTCTTTACGGTCAAGGCACATTGAATAAGTAGTAGCAGTAAAACAGCTGCTCTGATATTTTTTTCTACTTATTTGGACTTTAAACTGCCAAAGTAATTTTTATTTTTTTTTATATTCATATTCACCAACAAATTTTTTCTCATTCTACTGTGAATTCGACCCGTTTCCAAATATTTATTCAGGAGTTGTTATATAAAATTGAATGTATATCAGAGTTACAAAATTCATTTTTAACTATTGATAATGCCAGAATTCATAAATCTTAAGGAATAAGAGATATGGTGGATAATAATGGATGTTTGCCAATGCATACTCTGCTATGTTAAACCCCATTAATAAGTTACATATGGGCCATTCCATTGTGACTAGTGGGACATTTTACTCCAGAATGTGATCAATTGTGAATTTTAACTATGTCGTCGGAACTTGTACAACAGCGAAGGAATTTTTAACATAAAATGATAACTAGTGTATAAAATTTCTTTAACAAAAATACCAAACGATTTCTTAGTTTTATGTAACTATAATTTGAATGAATATGGCTGGTGGGACACTGAAAAGAACTCTATTTTACCCTTGTTCACTCAAAAATGAATTTTAGCCAAAACACTTAATTTTTACGAACGATGTATTTGTGTTGTAAAATACGCTTTCGTTTTAAATAAAATCTTCATAGAAATATTAAAAAATATTTAAAGTTGTGACTGCTGGGACATTTCCTTGTGACTGGTGTAAAGTAATTATGCATGAAATAAAAGTTTCATAGAAAAAAATTACAACTTCTTTTGATCTTTTTTATATTTTTCCACAGGTTAATGAAATGTAGTAAATTAAGAAGAGGTTACTACTGAAATAGAGATAATTAGGGCATATTTAAATTTATGTCGTTTTCCTCTTTGCAATGGAATGACCCATATGTATATAGTTAGTATAATTTAAGAAAGTATCGCACAAATTTGTCAAAATGACTGTGCGAACTATCTTATGGACATGATCATCCAATTTCCGAAAGCGGCGAAAAAAACCCATTAAAAAAAAACAGTATTTGTTTCAATAGCAAAGCATCGTTGCTTTTAAAAAAAACCTAATCAAATTCAAATGTAAAAATATTTGTTTCAAAGGTTTCGTATTACATTTTCTTTCGATTACGTTTTCCACATGTAAAAGTATTTGCCACAACAATTTCGCATTTCTAATGACTGTTTCTCCATACGACGACATTGAAGTTGACGTTTACGTTGTTCCATCGATCATTCTAGCAGAAACACGTTTTGCGGCGGTAGCAATTTTCATTTGTGGATTATAGATAAATGTTTGTACTACAAACACAAATTTTAGTGAAAGTGAATATTTTAAAACATTTTACGCTTAGTGAGGCTGTGCAAAAGGAACTTAGTTTGCATTTTCATTGGTCTTCCTGCTGCATGACGCGCTGCTCAACGACTCCGTGCAAAAGTTGATTTTCCAGTGCATTTTAATTTGAGGCGACATTTTTGCGTGAAAGGACTATTCCAAAGGTATGAAAAAGTTTACTTACACATAATTTCAACAAAAATTTACTTATATTCTAAAACATTTTTTGTACAATTTATTTTGCATTTACATGCTCCTTGCTGCCACATAACGCGCTGCTCAGTAACGCTGTGCGACAGGTGATTTTCCAGTGATTTTTTTAAATTATCAGTATGAGTGATGAAGTGATACCATCGACGTCTACGGAGCTGTCATTATTTGCCGAGCAACGTCCGTTGGAAGATGAGTTCCCTACAACCAAAAATGTCAAAAATCAGTCAGTCAGATAAACTGAACATGGCATATTACGACGCCATGCTTGGTGCAAGTGATGCAAGTAATGTCGATTTCTTCTGTTGTGTGATTTTCGTCATTAATTTCATGTTTTTTTTTTTTTATTTAGATTGCAGGCATTATTTTTTATTATCTTATTGCATGCAGTAATAACACCGCACTATGTAACGAAATGTCGATTTCGTGCGATAAAGTCCACTTTGAATATTTTATATTTTCCTTAATATCTTAATTAAATCTATAAACCGATATTATTTTTAGCTTAATTCTCAAATTTCTTGAAATTTTATTATTTATTCTCCAGGTAACAAGCCCTCAAAGTTTGCCGAAATTACTCAAATCAGATATTAATTTTCCTATCGTAAAAAAAACATCGACTTAATTCCTTTTTTTCTATTAATATATGCCAGTTATGTTATTTATGTTAAAAGTGTTTGTGTTGCAAATCAATATTTCAGCAATTCATTATCAGGGCTCTTTTTCGATTTGCAGTCGTAATTTGTATAGAATTATCTTTGCAAGCCTGTAGTCTTCATAAAGGCTAACGAAAAATAATAATTTTTTGCATACGTATTAGTAATAGTATATATTATTTAATCATAAAGAGTTTTCTTGAATCCCTTTGCTCTCGTTAAATTAGAAGTCGTACAGTGCTTAATTTTTATTTTTATGAAGCTTTTACCCGCGGGTTTCCCTCCTCGTCTTTATACAAATATGAAAAAAACTTTATGTAACGATGTTTAATTTTATTTCTTCTCTAATTTTGCTATAGGAGAATACGGAAGGACAGTTGTATAGCTTGGGTGATTACACCCAATATATGAAATATAATAATAACTTTTTGGCACAGCAGGTGTTTTTATCATTTACATTAAAACATCTCCAATAAATAATATATCGTCGTTTAAAGTACAAACCCGCGTATCAACAAACCGCGTAAGTTAATTTGCTTAAATTATTTTCTAGATAGTAAAAATACTCATATTTCAAAATGGTTTTCTTTTTTTTAAAGCAATCGAATTTCTGGCAGGTATATTTCAGGACGAATGTACAAGAATTGAGCCAAGAGCTTGTGTGAGCAAATCCAATTTTTGGCAGCAAATGTCAGTTACGCGGTTTTGCAGAATGACGATACGCGGCTTTGTACTTTAAACGACGGTATTTATGTAAGTAATAGTAGAAATACCAATGTTGTAATACTAAAATTTTAGCTATCTAACTTCTTTGGAATAATAACTCTAATATTATTTCATAGCAATTTTTTAATACTTCAAAGCCTCTATTAACATAAATACATTTTCCAATTCAATTATGATAGGTTTTATTTTCGATAAAGTTTTGGGGTTTGTTTTAAGGAATTCTGGTTTATTACCATTTCAAAAGCTAAGCGAACTGGAAACTGAGTCTGTAAATTCGAAAGGCATATCAGAAAGAATTAAAGGGGCCATGTAAATTCTGGTTCCGAAGTTATGGCTGGTACAAAATTCAACGCCTTTGTTATGCGCTACGCCCCCTTTTACAAACTCATCTATATAAAAATACCTTACTATAAGCACCTATGTACCATAGATATGTCTGCATAGCAAATTTCAAGTTCATGTTACTAAGGGCCGGTTGCATGGAGTCGAAAACGTCGATAACGATGTTAACCGATAATTAGTGTCAACCAGGCTTTGAGCAACCGGCCCTTATTGTTCGGAAGTTATGGCTGATTAAAAATTTCACGCCTATGAGATGTGCCACGTCCCGTTCACAAACTCATTTATGTATACCGTACTATAAGCACCTATGTACCATAGATATGTCTGCATACCAATTTCCACGTTTATGTGACTTATGGCTCCGAAGTTATAGCTGATAAAAAATTCCACGCTTTTGGGATGTGCCACGCCCCATTTTACAGACTCATTTATATATACCTTACTAAAAGCACCTACTGTAGATATGTCTGCATACCAAATTTCAAGTTCATGTGACTTACGGTTCCGAAGGTATAGCTGATTAAATATTTCACACCTACGGTAGGTGTCACGCCCTCTTTTCCAATTCCGCCCATTTTTTCCCATGAGTATGGAATTAATTTCATTTATCTCGACACCAAGTTCCAGTACTCTACCACAAATATTTTAAGAGATATACAACATGACAATTTTAGTTAGTATGGGAGGTGCCACGCCCACTTTTCCAGTACTGCCGATTTTTCTTTATGCCTATAACCTTCCCGGGGTAAAAACAAATAAGTGTGCAAAGTTTCGTGCGATTCCGTATCGCTGTTCAAAAGCTATACGGTAATAAACAAACAGACATTCACATTTATATATATAGATATTATTAAGTTTTTTTTGGTCTCAATTTAGAATTTTCCGTTCGATTTTTATTGCGATATATAATAGTGTCAAATCATGTTCGATATTTCAATACCGTGGTTTAAATAAGGGATTATCCAACACGCTCGTCTAAAATACAGAAATACAGAACTTAGTACCATCAGCTGCAAGCGTTAATGGCGAAGTTTATACAGTGAATCACAATCTAATTTTTTGTATGATTGATGGAAAGATTTGTAATACACTTGCAGACGTTAAATCAGCTCAAATATGCTACTTGTTTCATGCCACATCGAAAGAGTTCAACGACTTACAAAGTGTATCAGTAAAGCCAGTGTATGAACGATATTTATCTTTTGGCACTTCTATTCTACATATCGCACACCGTCTTCAAAAGAGTCACAACTTAAAATTTCGAATATTTGAAATTATGCGCTAAAAATGTACACAAAGCTCTTATTTACCTTTCAGCAAAAGCTGGAGCAAATTTTTGTTATAATTTGTTAAAAAACCTAAGGTAAAGTCGTCCTTGCCCATATGATTATCATGCGCTACGAAATAGTTTTTGGCATTTTCTGACGAACTTATTGTTTAGAGTTGTGACTCTTTTGAAGACGGTGTGCGATATGTGGATCCGAATGTGTGAGCTTCTACTAAATTTTGCTTAGAAATTACCAGTAAAACAATGGCGTAGTAATAAAGCTATTGAAACTGTTATCAAGAAAAATAAACGGAAGATTCAAAATGAGTTTAGAAAGCGAACTGGTGTCATTATTGACCAGCCTAAGCCTGGATTTGGCAACACTAATAATGGTAACACGGCAAAGCGATTTTTCCACAATGATATTACTGGAAGAGATGAAAACTTAATTAGAAAATTTCACGTAATTTTACAAACTATTGCCAGTGGGTTTAAAATTATGTCATTAAATTTAAAAACTATTGTTTCGAAACAGCTGAATTATTTGTTTAACTGGTATTATATGAGTACATCAGTGCATAAAATATTAATTCACGGCCATTAATAATTAATGAGGCCATTTTACCCATCGGTATGCTCTCAGAGGAAGCGCAGGAAGTTAAAAACGAGGAATTTAAGTTTTTTAGAGTTATGTTATAATTTAGTTATAATGTAATTACCTTAAATAAATAAATAAATAAGTTTTTTAGAGAACATTTAAGCCGAAAAACATCACGGTTAGATACTTTGACAGACATATTTTAAAGAATGCTGTTATCATCAGATACACTTGAAACGTGCCGGATACTAGCAAAAGGCAGTTTTATCCTGAAGCAATCGATATGTTTGAACCGGAGGACTATCCAAAAGTTGGGAATAGCAGCCAATTCGATTGATTATTGTATATTGTTATTATTAATAGAGATTTATAGTTCTGCAATGCGACTGTTAAAAATTTTCACCTTCTTAACATGCTAGTACAAGTTACATTATCAACATTTATACTTTG